CCATCATTAAAAGATGCAAGACTTATTGACCGTAGTTCAAATTCTGTACTGCAAGCAAGGTGTTCTTAACTTGTCTGTGAACTATACCTGTATCACCTACAATCGCTGCCAGAAAAAGAAAAGAGAGCTCTACTATGATGATTATAGTGGCACTGATCAAAAACAAATGATCCTTTTCCAGCTTTGTGGAAGAAATGAAATGTGTAATGTTATTTTAAATGGAAGAAATTTTGCTGTGTTCAGCTTTATCCTGTTGTTTGTTTGTTTTTCATCTCTGTCAATTTGAAGGAAGTAAAAAAGCACCTCTCGACAGGCTGTGAGCACGCTGCAAATTGAAACAAACCCCTATGCAGCGCGAGTCCAGGCAGCAGCACAGAGGCAAGCACTTGTAGCCCTCTCCCTTGGTCTGTACTGCAATCCACCTACCTCTCTTCCAGGGCCAGAGGAAAGAAATGCACTCTGCTTTGACATGCTTTTCAGAGCCACCTGCATTTCACTTTCCAAATAGGTAATGATGACACCTGGCATGGTCTGTACTGCATCCAGTATCTCATGGCATGTAATATATATTGCACAGTAAAAACAAAGCACTGTGAAAATACTAATATGCTGTTGAGTTAAAAATACTTAGCTTTAAGTATTTTAGGGTATCAGAGACTTTAACTCTTAAAAACCATTAAAAAAATAAATAAAACAGAAGAAGAAGAAAGGAGCCAATCCTGGGAACAGTCAGGTGCATTCATATCTTTACTCGTGTGACTGAGTTCATGCATGTGAATAAAATCACAAAGGTACTTGGTTGCAGAATTGGCCCAAAAGAACCTCTGGTCCCATTGCTCGTCAGGGCCAGGTGCTCTGGATAGTTGAGCTATGAACAAAAGAGCATAGAAAGGATGAGGAATTCAATTTTTTCACTGATTTGCCCTCCCTAAAATTGCTCCAACTCCTCAATCCCTAGCCTATCAAAATAATAATAATAATAATAATAATAATAATAATAATAATAAGATAGGGAAACAAATGTCAATCTTTAAGTCCAGACTTAACTTGGGTCTGAAGGAGAGAAAAAAAAAAGAAGCTATATAATTTTGTTGCCACACACAGAGTATTAAAGGAATATATGAATAAACATACTAATTATGGGGTAGCTTTATTAATTTTATTTATTCTTTTATTGTAGTGCTTGCAGGAAGCCTTGTAATAAACATTTGAAACAAATACTTTTCTATAGTTCGGGTGTGAAACAAAAGTTGTAATTGAAAGAAATAGTAAATCAGATTTCTTAGAGTGGCTTTTCCCCCTGCTTTCTAGGGAGCAAGTAAAAAGGATTTCTTTCCCCTCTGTGGTTTCTGTTTCCAAGTCTACTTTTCCCTCTTAGGCTTTTCATGACTGGGGCATTTGCCTCCATCCTGCTGACACCTGTGCACGTGAGCAACCTTATGCAAGCAAAGAGTCCCATTGAAATACTACTCCGCTGTGTGAACTTACTTACATGAGCCAGGTTATGTGGGATCGAGGCCTTTGTTCACCAGATTTTGGCAATGGTGCAAGGCCACATGCTTAGCAGCTATAAAAATATGCTTCTTCAATCGAGTATAAACTTTGCATTCCCCTCCGTGTCCTTGTCTTATTATTGATTGAGTTACGCCCTTCCAATAATGGCTCACAATTACAGCCACAGCTGAGAGCCTTGACACAGTTAGTTAGCTCTTGTTGACACCAATTGTACCGCTGAAGTAGAGTGCTACTCCTACGAGTAAGGGTTGGAGGATCAAAGCCTTTAGGGTTGGATTCTACACCAAGGACAATGATGGGGCTTCTTTTGACTTGGGACCCAAGCCTGATTTCAGATAAATAAGTCAAGATCAAGGACTTAATGCCAAACCTATTTGAAAGTAGGCTTTCCATTCATTTCAATGTGCATGGAATCAGGCCACAGTCTCTTTAGGATTGCCACGAGCACACCCCTAAGAAATCCAGCCCCCTTCTCTCTCCTACACCCCCCCAACAAAGCAACCGTCTTGTTTAGATGCTTCCTCCTGTAATTTGCTTTGCGTCCAAACATTTCAAAGCTCATCACGGATGGGCATCTACTGCATCAACTATTACACTTGTGGGTAAACTGAAGCAAAGAGTGATTAGCCAAATTTTTAATACTGAAATTCCAGTCCTGCAAGTATTTAAGCTTGGAAATAACCACTCAATCGCATAGGGTCACTTAAGTCAGCGGGACCACACCTGCTCTGTATTGGCTCTTAGACAGTACTTCTCGCTGTAGCATCTGAATTCCTTCCGTATGACAAACATCTCACAAGTTGTTTGTATTTTTCATTCTCCCGTTCGGGAAAGTATGTGCAGCAAAGGGTCTTGGATCCAAATAGAGTAGCCGCTTTCTGTTAGTTAATTTGTTGTGGGGGAAGTGTACCTTTATGTTCTGAATAAGCACAGTGGTATGTATTTATGCTAAAAAAAAAAAAAAAAAAAAGAAGACTGGATTGGAAAAAGGTTCTTTTTATGTGGATCGACCAAGTTTATTTGCATATATGCAGTTATTCATCTACATCAATATTTGTTGAATTTGCAGGGCTAAGTTTTGTGGTGCTCCATGATTGGATGCATTTCACAGGAACGGCTGAAATTCTTATTAGATGCGTAAATTCACAGGATTTTTGAAAATCCAGTCCTACGTCTCTCCAACTGGATAGTCAAATCCAGTCCTATGTCTCTCCCACATTTTTGCCAATTAAAAAAAACACAAAAAAACCCCAACAACCTAAAATGCAAAACCAAAGCCGAAGATCTCACACACAATTACTAGCTGGTTCATGACTATAGCTGAAATCCTTCCAATTCCTAGTCTTCTGTTCTAGTCACTAGACCATGCTTGTCTCCCTTGAGTAAAATGTAGTCCATGGATGTTGGGTTTCTCTGTTGCATGTTTACTTAATATGCTCCGCAGGTGTTCAGAAAGAGGTTTACTAAACCGATGGCAAATGCTAAATGGATTTGAGATGCTACAAAAAGATCATTTATTCAAAATCGTCATTTCCAGCTATTTCATTTATAAAATGAAGTTTTAATATGGAGTACTTGTATTCTGGAATCTATGCAGTAGCATGTTTATTTTGATTGCAAAATGTATGTCTGAATGCAAAACTTCCCGAAAATAGATGCAACAGAATGAATAAACTCAAACGTAGGTTTAAAAAACACATGATCAGGATAACATCTCCAGTAGAGTGGGCTGAAAACCTTTATTGCAATTAACCTGAGAGTATGTAGTATGCAAAAAATTAATGTGTTTTGCAAGCAAGAATTGGTGTTTCACATCTTGCAGTCAAGGTGAGAGTCTGTTATGAAGTACTGTCTCCTGTAAGGCTCAGTCTGGAAACCCTTGCAGAAACGAGCAGCCCCAAGTGCTTGCATGAATGAGCACTTGCAGGGTGTTGGCCTGAGTTTTCAATTATTAGAACTATGGAAAACTTCTCAGGAAACCTGTTTAAAGAAACTTGTAATTTTTGAGAATCAGTCCATTTAAAAAAAAAAAAATCTTTGTTTAACTGCCTGCTACAAGTTTCCAGAGGTGAAATGGTAACATGCCATTGTGTAAACTGCTTTTCTTTTGCAAAATAAGTGATAAATGAGATTTCTCTTTTCCTTTCCTTCTTCCTTTCTTTTCTTTCTTTCTTTTCTTTCTTTTAATTAACAGAGATTCTGATTTTTCCCAAACAGCAAAGTTTTGCCACTTTGGTGAAAAACTCTACCTGATTGTGGAAAGGACACAATTTGTCATTTGATCAGTTTGACACCCTCCCCCCCTCCCCAAACCTTCACAATTACTGTGTGAATTTTGCAAAGCCAAGCCTGGTTTGTTCCACGTGTGAAACATTTCATTACATTTCCATTTCATACTATGTTTTTTAGATCAGCAAACCCTTGCATGTTTGGGTTTGCCTTTATTGAATTAAAGCATTAGATCTTACATGTTGTTCTGCACACTGCTTAGCAGATGATCAACATAGCAGTGAAATTATGTTATACTTTTACTCTATTAAAGCATTTGGTCAACTGACGTGGAATTAATTCTCAGCACTGTTAGTGGTTTGAGTTAGTAACTTGATCTAAATTAATAAACAAATGTTTTTCTTTTTTCTTGTACCATATGTTGATCCCAATTACATGAAGAGAAAGTGGCAGATTGTCATGTTTCTTAAAGGATTACATACTGTTTTGCATAAGAGAGTACACAAGATGCAGTAATATACATGGTAAAAAACACACGTGCTGTTATTCTTCCTTCCTGCTTTATAATGACAAACTTTAGTGATTTTTTTTTTTTCCCCACCCCTGCTGACACGCACCCTTTTTAATAACTCAGCGCACTTGGTGTGCTTTGATTTGACATCAGCAAGGGGAGACTAACCACAGCAAACAGCTACCTGCATACAGCATGAAAGGTACAGCTAGATATAAAGCATCTCATCTAGGAGTGCGACTCTTTTGAAAGGGTGGGGGAAATCAAGGACCCACAAGACCTGCTCGGATAGCAGTGATTTCCAAACAGACCAAAAGACATTAAATAAGCAGACCAAGTCTAGCAAGAGTTTGGGTTCTGAAAACAAAGGGCTGGGAGTCGTATATTATTCAAAGTGAAAATAAATTGATAGACATCAAGATTATAACACAGATGTCTCATCTTCAGGGTTCTTTCCCCCAAAGACCAAGTTGTTCTTGCTGAGCTGGAGAGCCTCACGCAGGCTGGTACTGATAAGCACAGTCTTGTGACTTGATTGTTTTTATTAACTCTCTCTGAAAGTCATTCACCATTAAACACAATTGGATTCATTTGTTGTTTTATTTATGTTTGTACTTGCTAATGTGGTGCCAATGAAAATGCTTCAGACGTTGTTGCTAATACCGATCAGCCAATCACACTGCGATATCCTCTTTGTCTCCAGGGTAAGAAGAGTGACCTTTTTGGGTGGCTGTAACTGAAGATTGCTTTACAGAAGCAACTAAGGAAGGTAAATACAAATACCATTTTTGCACTCGGCCAATGCAGAGAGGATTGCATGCATGCATGAATGAATGGCCCGATCTTGCGAAACCGAGGCACCGTTCCTCAGTTGCAAAAATTGTGGATTTCGTGGAAATATGTGAATAAAGATGACAGGCTTGGGCTCAAATGTGAAACTTTTGCTGTGCCCAGAAACTGCCTTTCATCTAAAGCTCTCCAGCAAAGTCAGTGGACTAGGGCCTCGGCATACATCTTCAGGCACGGGGCATAAGCACAGCCTTTTGGGGCTGTTGCTTTCTCAGGCCGTTCTGGGCTGGTCCTCGGTGACGAGGAGGACGGTGGGCTCTGATTTGTGTTGCTGGGGGATTGTGCCATGCACTGTCCCCAAGCCATGCCCCTAATGCATGGGAGATATAGAGAGGTATTAGCTGCAATAGTGGCTCTGTGTCACTGAAAGATTTGGTTATACCAGGTGAGTCATAGGTAGGGAACAATCAGATTAATTTTAGGGTGGCTTTGCCTTAAGCTAACACGAGCCTGGATTTAGCGCAGAGTAACTGAGTGCAGAATTGGGCTCCTAATCAGATTAATTTTCAAAATAGCAATAAGTAAAATGCAGGCTCTTGGTTTTTCATGACATTGTAAAAAAGAAAAAATGGGGGGGGGGGGGGGGGGGGATGAATTTTTGTATTTCCCTAAAAGCATTCTGCTTTAAAACCATCTGAAAGTCCCCTGCTTCTTACTTTTTTCTTTTTTTTTCTTACTGTTATTATTTTCTACACTGTAAATTTAAAGTTAGAAATAATATTAACATCACAAAAGTGGTGATTCATAAAATTAACTTGCTGAAGACAGGAGGAACGCATGTCAGTGCTCAGCACTGAAGTGGTGTCATCCGACTGAGGTTCATATGGCTGCTTTATAATCACCTTCTTTCAGAAATTAATAGTCGGTTAAGCACCATAGCAACAAGCAACACTGATGTAACCGTTAAGCAGTGGCTGCCATTCGCTGTGATGTCAGTGCTCGTTAGTACTGTTCTCTTGACCTTGTTTGAGTGTCGAATGGTGATTTCATTTCAAATTTAGAATTTTACAGAATGGCTGAAGGTCTATGGGAGAAGTAGAGTTATTTTTATTTGTTTGGGGGTTTTTTTTTTAAACTCCACTTTTAAGGTAGGAAAGTGCCCATGTTCTCATCTGTTTCAAATTAAAATAGATCTATGGATAGTGTGTATTTGAGCTCTTTGTTGCCAAAAATATCTATTCAGTGAGGATAAAATTCATGGAGTTCAAGTGAATATTGCAATCCTTGGCCATGCCTATGGTTTGTGTCAGCAACGTGATATACATCTTCCGTTGGGACTTGGATATTGCTATTTTCTCATGGTGGAGCCCATAGGGCATTTAGTATTTTTCAGACACTTAGGAAGGGACAGAGACCCTGCCTTGAAAAGCTCGTCATTCAAGGGATAGAGCTTCCCTCCTCCTGGTTTTGGTTTGATTGAAATGACCCTGGGGTGCGAGGAAAAGCCTTGTACCCCTGAATGCAGCTGGCCTTAGTAAAAGTTAGCTGATGCTGTAGTATTGGGGCATAATATTATGCGGCACAAGTGAATTCAGGAGTTTTGTCTGCAATAACCACAAAAGACTGTCTTAAAATTGGCCTAAAGGTTCTGACCTAGATTTGCAAAAGCAGAAGTATTTGGTAATGCTGTAGCCATGGCACAAAACACGTGCTCAGGCTTGCCCTCTTGTGTGCATCAGGTAATACTTCAGTAGCTTGCATGATTCATAGACTGAGAAGATAATGCTAGTAGGGACCATTCGACCATCCAGTCTGAGCTCCTGCTTTATTGCTGGCCATCCAGTTTCATTGCGGTGACCCCTGTGTTGAGCCCAATGACTTGCGTTGGACTAAAGAGGAACTCAGATTTGGCCGAGGCATGCCTTTCAAAAAGACCTCAGGAAATGGAGAATCTACCACTTCCCTTGATGGTTTATTCCACTGATCAGGTATTGCACGGGTGCAAGTGCAGGTTTCCAAATGGCAAAGCAAAAATGCACAATGTAATGAAAATGTAGAGTAGTTCCATATTGCTTGAATGTCAAGAATTGTTTCTGTGACAAATTACAGGTCTTGTCCTGCTGCTGAAGTCTCTGGCACTACTGCCATTGTGATTTCAGGGGCTGCAGACTAAGGACCAATTCTTCCAAAGTACAAAGTAAAATAAATACATGATAACTGACATCTGGGCTGACAAATTGTACATCAAGTTTCAACTCAGTGAGAATTGGAACTGCCAAGATGATAAACCACAAGAATAGGAGTTTGTAATGGAAATGGTGATGGAGTCCTAATTAGAGGAGTGCCACTGAAATAAGGAAGGTTAAGGGTTTCGTTGATTGAGATTGAGCGCAGTTGCTTGATAGCCTAATTTCAGGTGAAATCCCATTTTCTGAGTTCAGTGGTTAAGCCACTGACTCCTTTCCAGTGCAGCATTCTTCCCTCCTTGAGGAGCAGTTGTATGGTCCTGTACTACCCAGAGCTGCACGGAAATCCAGCCTCGGGCATACACACTGGGATGAGAGGACAAGGGTGATGCAATAGATTTTTTTTTTTTTTTTGCTTCATGTTTTTTTCCTGTGAACTCTGAAGCATACAAACATTGACAAAAAATAACTGAATAAACACAGCAAGGAGTTTTCATAGCTAAACCTTCAGAATTTAGGTGTTTGCATTCTCCTTTATGTATAACCTAGCTGATCATAATACCTAATTAAGTTGCTTTATAAACCTTAGCCAGCTTTCTTCAAAGTGAGAATCTGAATTGAAATGCTGATTTTTTTTAATTTTTTTTGCGGGGGGGGAAGGAGGGGAAGTGCATGTGTATAGAAATATGCTCAATAGCGTTAGTTATTCAGCAGCAGTCATTTGTTTAAAAATATGTAATGGCATCTTGGGTAATCAGACCAATTCAATGGGCATCGTAAATGAAGGGTAGCTTGCCTGCTGAAAAATTGGAAAATCAAAACATATTACTAAAGTTGTACAATAGTAACAAAAGATGCATGCAGATTTCAAGATAGCCAAGGTTAATATCCTTCAGAAAGCCCTTAATAGGGGGGGGGGGGAAATCAACACAAAAGGACTTAGTGAAGTTACACTTATTTTAAAGCATTACTTCTTAAAGCATGCTGGAGTTAAATGTTTATTAAATATTGATAACAAAGCAGTAGCCTTCTGTAATTTGGGACTCAGTGAGGCGATCAACAAATTCTTTTGTGGGCTTGACACGTGCTGTAATAGAGTCTTTTCACAGGGCCGAACCAATGCATGTCCCTGGATCTCTTTCCCCTTCCTCCTTACAAGATCTGTGCGGATAAATCAAGAGAGTCTTCTCCCCATCAGGCTACATAAAAAAAGAAAAGAAGAACTACAGTATGAGTCTCTTGGGAGGAGCACCCATGTTGGGCACAGACTTCCTTCCTCCTGTTCCCTCCAGCTTGTTTGGACGGGAGGGGGGATCACGGTCCTGTAAAATGGGGAGAGTGAGTCCCAATGCCACCACTTTCCAGCTAGGGTTCTGGATCAGTAATGCAGTTTGGGTCAGTGCTAACATGCACCATAGCGTACTGTGGGAGCTCCAGGAGCAATGGGAAACGGGGATTCAGGATTTCTGGCTTCTATGTGGATATATACTGATAGTTCACTGTATGAGTTTGGGAATATAACTTGATTGCTTGTGTGAGTCTGTGAACCCATCTCAAAAGTTGGGTTCATTTATCTCCTGTATGTCGATGAGAAAATACGTCATGAGATGACGTTAATGGTCAAAGCACTTTTGAGATCCTCCATTGATCTCAGAGATTCTGCAAGATTCTTACTTGAATCTCTCTGTGATCTGCAGGGACAGGCATTACGTTATATTTGACTGTCATAGGATGACGAGACCCAAAGACTGTGTACATGCAAAGTGTGACTACCCTGAAACAATTGGGTTGAGAAGATTAATAAAGCAGATTAAGATGTGTTAAAATAATGTGGAAAATGTTTAACCCAATCTCATTAACGTGAGCCATGAGAATGCCACATTGAAGATTTCCAATGTCTGTTGCAAAACTTTGCTCTTTTCTCTAAGCTGTTATCTGCTAGCATTATTGATCTTGAGAAAACAGGTTTCTATTGCTTTTCCCCCATTTAAGTTTTTGTTCTTCATGTTTCTGTATACTTTAAAACTTCCATGGGCTTACCGGAGAATTTTCTTCTTTGGTTTGTGAGAGTCAAAACTGGTCCGTGCTGCTCTTGAGCCAAATATGACTTGTCTTCGGTGGAACTATTCTTGTGAGCAAAAGTTGGTACTTGATGTAATCCTCCCACCCTTCTTCCACTTCTCTGAAGTTAGATGTTTGATAAGGGCTTAAGTAAAGTAAAAATGCTGATCTGTATTATTCCATGCGTACAGTTTACCATCATCCCATTTCAGATCTATAATACTAAACCACACAATGAAGCATGATGGTTCAGCGGTTAGCTTACGTCTTTAGACCGGGAATCTTGTTACGTAGATCATTAGCTGCACCATTACCTTTTGGCATCTCCGTTCACACCGGATTTTGTACTCTGGTAGACTTGCCATAGTTTTAGATCATTTCATAGATCAACGGTGGCTGCAGAAAATTCCAAGAGGCAATCGAGCATCATTTGAAGGATTACTGGACTGTCCCATGTATTCGTGGATGACAAAACCATAGATAAATTAAACACGAGTTATGGACTGAAGTCCTAATGGTATGCTTAATACTTGGTTGCACAAAATGTGGGACTTTCAGGCCTTTCCACCTGGGGAAAGAAGGTTAAAATGGCCTAGGGTGAAAACCTGGAGCAAGTCCTTGTTTCTCCATCAGTAGCCTTTGGACCACCTCTACTCTGACATTGCTTTCCAGTTAGATGTGGTAAATGGGTGAACCACTTGTGTCTAATCTTGTGCTGGTATTTGTCATGAAG